CTGCTCTTCCATGTGGGTGGTGATGAAGTTGCAGTGCATAGCCCAAGGATGATTAAAAGAGACTTCAGGGCCTTGGGACGGTTAGTGAGGGAATCTGGGGCACAGGTTATTTTTTCCTCCCTCCTTCCAGTTGTGAGTGGTGACATTGGAAGTAACAGGCAGACCCAATCTCTCAACACATGGCTCTGTGGCTGGTCACAACTTTGGGTTTTTTGACAATGGGATGGCCTACACAGCACCAGGCTTGCTGGCATCAAAAGGGAGCCACCTTTCTCAAAGGGGAAAGAGGGTCTTTGCTCAGGAGCTTGTGGGGCTCATTGACAGGGCTTTAAACTAGATGTGAGGGGGAACATAGCAGGCTTGCCTGTGACAAGCTGTCGGATGGTACACAATGGTTAGAGGGACAAGGTGCTACTATAAGCTCTCATCCTGTTGCCCAGAGGCGTGCTGGGGACACTGCAGCACAGTCAAAGTCTTGCAGAGATGAGCTGGGGGCTCCTGAGGTAGTAGGAGCCAACAAGGAAACCTCCATGAAGCACCCCAGGGGGAACATAGCAGGCTTGCCTGTGACAAGCTGTCGGATGGTACACAATGGTTAGAGGGACAAGGTGCTACTATAAGCTCTCATCCTGTTGCCCAGAGGCGTGCTGGGGACACTGCAGCACAGTCAAAGTCTTGCAGAGATGAGCTGGGGGCTCCTGAGGTAGTAGGAGCCAACAAGGAAACCTCCATGAAGCACCCCAAGGGAAACAAGAGACTAAGAAGGTGGCATGGCCAACAGCCCAGATGAAATGCCACTACACAAATGCACACAGCATGGGGAACAAACAGGAGGCGCTGGAAGCTACTGTGCTGCTAGAAAGTTATGACCTGATTGCCACAACTGAAACATGGTGGGACGTATCCCATGACTGGAATGTGACTATTGATGACTACAGGCTGTTCAGAAGGGACAGGCGAGGAAAGAGGGGCGGAGGCGTTGCCTTCTACATAAAGAAATCAATACAGCGTGAAGAGCTGCCCGTGAAGAATAGCCACGAGCAGGTCAAAAGCTGATGGGTAAGAATCAGAGACAGAGGCAACAAAGGGAACCTTGTGGTTGATGTCTACTACAGGCCACCTGATCAGGGGGAGCCTACTGACGAAGCCTTCATCCTCCAGCTCCAGGAGGCTTCACGCTTGCAGACTCTCATCGTACTGGAGGACTTCAACCACCCCAACATTTGCTGGAAAAACAACACGGTGAGCTGTAGGCAATCCAGGAGATTCCTGGAATGCACTGAGGATAACTTCCTAAGCCAAGTAATAGACAACCCTACCCGAGGAGATGCAATACTGGACCTGATGGTCACCAATGCAAGCGAGCTCATCAGTGACATCAAGACTGAAGGCAGCCTGGGCTGCAGTGATCACGCATTGGTGGAGTTCACACTCCTGAGGAATATGGGAAAAGCAAGGAGTATAGTCAGGACCCTAAATTTTAGAAAAGCAAACTTCCAGCTCTTCAAGGAGTTAGAAAGACCCCTGGGAAACAGCCCTCAGGGACAGGGGAATGGAACAAAGCTGGCAGATCTTTAAGGACACCTTCCATAGAGTGCAAGAGCTCTCAGTCCCTAAGTGTAAGAAATCAAGCAAGGAAGGGAAGAGACCAGAATGGCTGAGTTGAGACATGCTGGTCAAACTAAAGAGCAAAAGGGAACTGCACAGGCAGTGGAAGCAGGGACAGGTATCCTGGGAAGAGTACAGGGAAGCTGCCCCACTGTGTAGGGATCAGGTCAGGAAGGCCAAGGCATGGCTGGAGCTGAATTGGGCAGAGGATGTAAAGAATAACAAGAAGGGCTTCTACAGGTATGTCAACCAGAAAAGGAAGGTTAAAGAAAGCATACCCCCCCGCCACCCACCCTGATAAACAAGAATCCTGACCTAGTATCAACAGATGAGGAGAAGGCTGAGGTACAACTTTTTGCCTCAGTTTTCACCAGCAACCTCTCTCCTCACCCCTCCCAAGTCGAGGGACTACAAGATGGGGACTGGGGGGGTAAAGCCCCTCCCACTGTAAGGGAAGCTCAGGTTCGTGACCACCTGAGGAACCTGAATGTACATAAGTCTATAGGACCTGATGAGATGCATCCCAGAGTCCTGAGGGAATTGGCTAATGTAGTTGCCAAGACGCTCTCCATTATATTTGGCAGTCCGGTGAAGTCCCTGCTGACTGGAAAAAAGGGGAATGTTGTGCCCATTTTTAAAAAGGGAAGAAAGGAGGACCCTGGGAACTACCGACCAGTTAGCCTCACCTCTGTGCCTGGGAAGATCATGGAACAGATCCTCCTAGAAGCTATGTCCCTGGAGGACAGGGAGGTGATTCGAGACAGCCAGCAAGTCCTGCCTGACCAGCCTAGTGGCTTTCTGTGAAAGTGTGACTGCATCAGTGGACAAGGGGAAAGCAATGGATGTCATCTATTTGGACTTCTGTAAAGCCTTTGACACTGTCTCCCACATCCTTCTCCCTAAATTGGGCAGATGTGGATTTGAGGGGTGGACTGTTCAGCGGATAAAGAATTGGTTGCATGGTTGCATCCAGAGGGTAGTGGTCAACAGCTCGATGTCCAAATGGAGACCGGTGACAAGTGGTGTCCCTCAGGGGTCCGTACTGGGACCAGTGCTGTTTAGTATCTTCATCAATGACATAGACAGTGGGATCAAATGCACCCTCAGCAAGTTTGCAGATGACACCAAGCTGAGTGGTG